TTTTTTATCATTTCATTAGTGATAACTCATTATGTCTTCATAATTATGTCTTTCAAATATGTCCCAATAGCATTAATGAAAAAAAAAAAAGCAATACTATTGAGACATAATTGAGGGACATAATGAGTTGTCATCCATGAAATAATAATAAATTCATTTAATGTTATGACGAGACACATCATTAAATATATTTCATTATCATTTCATTTGTGACAACTCATTATGTTCCCAAATTGAGTAATGTTATTTGGACCTAAAAATTTCACTGAATCTACTAACATAATGATGTGGCTTAATAGGAATCATTAGATCAACACTAAGTTCTAATGTTTGATAGAACCTACAGACAATCCAAATGTCACAGTGTCTTAGGTCAAAAAATTAGGTTAAATTTTTAGATCTCAATAGCATTGCTCTCCTAAATTACTTCCCTTAATTATATCACAATAACATTAATTAAAAAATAAACGGTTCTACTAGCCTCTATTCAAACCATTAAAATTCAATTTTTTACTAAGTCTAAACTCTGAGTTAGATTCTTATGAACCCACTCATCTTTCCTTTAGAGCATATTAGATCTGTATATATGTAACTATATGTATAATAAAATATCTAATAATTTGAATTTTTATCCCTTACATATTTTCTCCCTTAAAGCATCACATCATTCATTTTTATTGAATGTTCAATCATTTAATATTTGATAATTTGTAGTTTAACATAATTTTTTTTCTCAAATATTATTCATACATAATAGTATACATATTTTGAAAAAAATTTGTCAAATTACGTATTTTGAGAAAATTTTGTCGATATTTTTAAGAAAATAATAGGTAAAAATAAAATTTTTAAATAATGTAATCGAAAAAATGAAAGAAAGAAAAATTATTATTTAATATAGTGGAATTAATTTTTTGGACACTTGAATTTTACGTTTTATCGTGCCTTCAAATACATATTATTATTATTATTATTATAAACACATATCTATCGGTGATCGGCAAAGGAAGTGGTATGTTGGTGATATGTTGTTGTGGAATGGATTTTATATCTCTATGATATATTTATTATTATGTAAATTATTGTTCAAACAGATTTTATTATTTTTTGTTCTTTAAAATTGTTTTCAGAATAATATAATAAAACAATTTTTTCAATATAAAAATATTAAAACAAATTTCCTTATAAAATTATTTTAAATTTTTATGTAAATATATAATCCAAACACACCCTAAATATGTTTTATTTTGGATAAATTACAGATACCCCTTAACATTTGTCTTTATTACACAACCACCCCTCATATTTTCAAAATTACACTAAGACCCCATAAAATAAACGTCGTTAACTGCACAAACGAAAAGATCATTTTACCCTCACATTAACTACCCATTAAGACCAAAGATCCAAGACCTAAGATCTAAAACCCAAGCCCCCTAAGATCATGACGAATCAAAAAGCCCCCAGTATCTCCATCTCCATCTCGCTCTCTTTCTCTCAAGGCTAAGACCTAGACTGAAATCATTTGTATTCTCTCTCTATCATTGCAACAGCCTTCAGTAGAAATCGCAGAAGAAATCAAAAGGGTTGAAAGCTTAAAAAACTTTAGATATCGAAAGGAAAACAATAGTTTTTGAAACCCTAAGTCCCCATTCTTCGTCTCTCAGATTTGACGCGATGGTGGGTGACTTTGATACCCTAACTCTCTTTATTTGTCTTGCAGTTTTGAGGCATTTTTTGGTGGTGGTGATGGGCGTTTCTGTTGTGGTGGTGGTGGTGATTTGTTGGTGTGTGTTACTGAGTTGACGGCGATGCAATAGTAACGATGTTATGGAGGAGAAGGATCATATACAGAGAGGATTGATAATGAGTTTTGGCTAGGTGGTGGTTTTAGTAATGGAGGTGGAGGTGGTTTTCCATGGGGTTGTGATTTCTCTTTCTCTCTCTCTGTGCTAGTGGTGTTTGGATGTGTTGGGTGACAGATGCATTATTGCAGTGGTTAGGTTTAGGCAGCGGTGATGATGGCAAGAGTAAAAATTTATATAATTAGATAAATAATAAACAAAAATAAATTTAATATGAGATAATTGGATTAGGTAATTATTAAGGTTTAAAAAAATGATTACTTTTTAAATTGTACTAACAGTAACAAATATTATTTAATAAACAAAAAAATTAATATTTTATTTATTAATGTAATGTATTTAGAAATTAAACATATAAGTGTTAAATTTTAATCTATATATTTCATATACAGATTAAAAAAACAAATGAGAGGTTGGATAAATTTAAAGAGTATTTTTAATATTATGAGAATTATGATTGAAGACCTCAGTTTTGACTGTTAACAAGTTTAACGTCTGTTAGTTGGAAGGGTGTGTGACTATTATAAGTGTTAAATATCAAGGGAGTTTGGTGTTATTTTTAAAATATGAGGGAGTGTTCGCATAATAAAACTATATGTCAAGGGTGTGAATGTAATTTACCCTTTTTATTCATTCAATTTCCATTTGCAACAGATTTATATTGACAGGGTGAGAGATGCTTGTAGCATATGTAGATGGAGTGGGGGTAGTTTAGTCGTTTGGAAGAAGGCAATAAGGATTTGAGAATCGCGAGATGTCGGCGGTAAGTAAGCCGAGTACGACAAGGAATTTGAATATTCACACGAGTCGGGTCAGAGGCATCGTTTGGTTCCGCCCGTAAACTAATGAATTTTGCCACCACTTTACTTATTTCCCACACGAGGGGAAAAGAAAATGGCTTGTGACAAAGACAAGATAGATTTTGAAAAGATTTTTTCAAAATTTCTTTTGTTTCGACCTACGGGAAGTTCCACTCCTTCACCTCATAAACTCCGTTAAATTTTTTATTTTTGTTTAATAATAAATAAGTTTACCAACTGAATAAAAATATATTTTAAAAATATTTTAGAATATTAGTCTAAATATACAAAAATATATTAAAATATGTTAAAATACCTTAACATATTTTTAACCACCTTGATTCATTAGAGTTTCGGAATAAAATTTTGGTATTTAATTGTTGACTGAACAAAATCTCATCAGAATTTATTTTTATTACAAAATAATTATAGGGATAATAAGTGTAAACTCTATCCTTTTGTTTTGACTTTTTCAAATCAACTCATGCCGCAAAGAAGTTTGCAAGAAGTGGATAAGCAGAATCCTCGTGAACCACGCAATATAATAATTCAGTTCCCATTTGAATATTATAATTTAGGTAGAATTACGCCTAAACTATCTAGGATTTGTTATTTAATAAGTTAAATTTTTTTATATTTAAAATATTATATACAGATTTTTAAAATTTTTATGTGCATAACACTTACATCCTTTTTGTAAATATATCAATTGATAAATTACACTTAAATTCCTTAAAGTTTATAAACATATATTATTTAGACTTTTTAAGTTTAAAATGATATATTTAGATAAAAAATATTTTAATAAAAAATAAAAAATAAATTATTTTTAACCTTTACAATTAAAATTCATATTCTATTGTATCATTTATTGAAATATAATCACAAATAAAAATTCAATTTTTTCTTAAAAAATTTTAATTAATATACAATTATATTGTCGATTAAAATTTAATTTAGTCGTTTAAACAATTAAATTAAAATATCAAACTATCACAATTAAAGATAAAAGGTATTGTGTTCATTACAGTCTGACCCATTATTTAATTTTTTTAGTTTTATTCTAATAGATAGTATAATTATATACTAATTATGATTTTTTTAAAAAAAAATTGGATTTTTATTTTTGATTTTATTTGTATAACTGACATAATAGAATATAAATTTTGGATGTAAAATTTATGTTCTATTATGAATGACTTAGACCCCTTATTTGATTTTTTTAGTTTTATTCTAATAGATAGTATAATTGTATATTAATTATAATTTTTTAAGAAAAAATTAAAATTAAAATTTTAATTTTAATTTTATTTTAATAAAATGATATAATAGAATATAAATTTTGATTTTAAAATATTTGATATTCTATCTTTAATTGAAATATTTTTAATTTAAGTAATATATTTTAAACTTAAGAGCTCTAATTAATATATATTTATAAATTTCTGGGGGTCTAAGTCTAACTTCTTAACAGATATATTTATAGCAAGGCCTAAGTGATACACGCATATAAAATTTAGGGGTTTGTGTATAATATTTTAAATATCACAGAGTTTGAGTGATTAAGTGACAAATCTTATGAAAAAGTAAATGAATTAACTTTCCTTCTAACTCACCAAAAATAATTCCTCTAAAATCAGAAGGAAAGTTGATGAAAAGTTATTTATTTATATTGAGATGTATTTCATTTATCCATATATTATGTGTACATTAATTTCATATAAAAATACAATGATATATATATATATATATAAATTAAAAATTAAAAAAGAAATTCATCTTAAGTAGGGGTAAAAGATTTTGACTCAACACAATCACACGATTCGAATTCGACATGAATTTTATGACACAAACTTGATTATACCTCAATACGAACTTGAAAATGACCTGACACGCAAATAAGAAATATAAAAAACTCATAATTTTATGACTCAACACGAATTTGACAAGACACGACTCGATTGTCACCCTTAATATTAAATAAAAAAAATTAAAAAAAATTAATCATTTTTATTTTTCATACATCCAACCAAATATAAAAGAAAAAAAATATATCATTCTTACTTTTTATTTTTAAAAGATAAAAAGTTCATCATTCCTATTTTTTATCCATCCTACCAAACGGACTATTAAGGAGTCCAGAACTTATTATAATTCTGTTTCCAATCGAATGAGTTCTAGGTTTTGTTTTGTTAGATAGGAACAGAAAGCGCCAGTCCCAGAGCAATCAAGCACAATAAATTCTTTTTTCTTTTTCTTCTTCTTCTTCAGATTTCCGGGAAAATAGAGAAGAAAATATGAATAAATAAGAAGAGTTAACTAGGGTGGACTTTTCATGCTATTAATAGGATGCTTTTCTTATTTTCCTCGCAGTTCGGTGAATCATAAGCAGTGGATACCCAGATTCCAGAATCCCACTTATAGTCCAAGAATCTGTTCATACAGTCCATACATACCCACCCACGCTTCCTTTCAGGGAGGTAAGCTCCTCTCTCTCTCTCTCTCTGTGTAAGTGAATATTCCATAATTCCTTATCTAGATGATATGATGTTCATTCATTATCAATGATTTCATATTCTTGATTAAATTGATTACTTGTTTTGTAGTAATTTTTCTTTTTGTATTAATAGATTGGATAATACATCACGTAAAAAATATTTTATAAATTGCCTTACGTTTTACCTCTGCTAATTTGAAAAGTTCAATCTCACCATGGGTATGTATATGTAATAAGATCATGTTATGGAATTTTGAGAATTGTTCTAGTTCTCTTATAGATTTTTTTCTTACCAGGTGTTAATTGTTCTGGTTTAGCTGATTCTGAAGTTAAGTTTTTCATTACTTACACGAACTGCTATATAAAGGAAGCAACAATGTCTACCCCTAATGACAATGGGGCTTCGGTTAGGCTTGAGGTTTGTAACCAAGCCTTTGTATTCCTTAATGTAGGACAAGTGATACTTTATAGAGCAATATTAATTGTTTTTTGGGTTATTAGAGTTTATTAACATATGAAGTTTCTTTGGTCAGGGAAAGTATGCTGCAATGTTAGTGTGTTGGCTCCTAGGAAATGGGTGCCTCTTTTCTTGGAACAGTATGCTGACAATAGAAGATTACTATGGGTATTTGTTCCCGGTAATTGCCATCTCCCGTAGTTGCATTCGTTTCGTTAGGTTTCTAATATGATTTTTCTTTGATGTGTAAAGTTCGAAATTTGGAGCCTTTAATTGCAGTTAGTCATTATATGCTTCATTCCTAAATCTAAATGCTTGGTTGTGTATTAGGCGGATACCATTTATGTGCCTTTTGTCCCTAATTCTGTTCTTCTTTAGAACATGTTTTTTTTTTCTNGAAAGTAGATATCACACAAATAACTATCAGTTCGTTTAAGGAGGTAATTACCTTTTTTGAGTTTGAATTTTCGTTATTCTTTGGAGTTAAGTCATAGAGAATTTATCCATTACGAATACTTTAATCCTAACATAAATGATCTACTTTTGACTTGATTGAGGAGAAAATTAGTCAATGTGCATGAATTGATGTAGACACTCTTAATCGTTGAACTAAAAAAAGAGCAATGTTATTGGGACATAATTTATGGATATAAATTAAAGACATAATAAGTTGTCACTAATGATATAATAATGAATTCATTAATGCTACAATGAGATCCATTATTAAATGCATTTTTTTATCATTTCATTAGTGATAACTCATTATGTCTTCATAATTATGTCTTTCAAATATGTCCCAATAGCATTAATGAAAAAAAAAAAAGCAATACTATTGAGACATAATTGAGGGACATAATGAGTTGTCATCCATGAAATAATAATAAATTCATTTAATGTTATGACGAGACACATCATTAAATATATTTCATTATCATTTCATTTGTGACAACTCATTATGTTCCCAAATTGAGTAATGTTATTTGGACCTAAAAATTTCACTGAATCTACTAACATAATGATGTGGCTTAATAGGAATCATTAGATCAACACTAAGTTCTAATGTTTGATAGAACCTACAGACAATCCAAATGTCACAGTGTCTTAGGTCAAAAAATTAGGTTAAATTTTTAGATCTCAATAGCATTGCTCTCCTAAATTACTTCCCTTAATTATATCACAATAACATTAATTAAAAAATAAACGGTTCTACTAGCCTCTATTCAAACCATTAAAATTCAATTTTTTACTAAGTCTAAACTCTNTGTGAAATTGAGGATCTACATAAGATTGAGTGGTTAAGAACAATACTTGAAAAGAGTATACTTGATACATGTAGTTAGACAGATAAATAAACTGTACTTTTTGAGTTCAAATTATGTACTTGACTATGATATCAAAAAATAAATATTGCGTATCGTATTTCTAAATTTTATAATTTTTATCACTTTTATTCGGTACAAAAGAAATTATCATTTTTGTTGACGATTTACTATTTTTGTGAGTATTTTTATGAATATTTTTATTACTATTATTGTGGTAATTATAATTTTTTATATTATAATAATGATAAAAAGACTCACAATAATTATAAAAATAATTATAGATATAATAAATGTCGATAAGATACATAAAGGAGTCCTCAAATTATATCCTCTTACGATACATGTTTTTTGAGCCATACTTGTGAATTTCACTTTTGTGTGTATCAATAATGCTATTGAGACGTCTCAATAGCCGGGACACAAATCCCTACCTATTGCTGTTAGAATTTCAGAATCCATGGCATGTCCATATGAACATTATCAATACTTTTTTAAGAAAATTATCAATAAGGATTATTTTTCTTCATAAAAATTTATTAAGTGCTCTCATTTTTATTTTATATTAATGAAGTTCTATTTTTAATATTTTATTTCAATTAAGTCTTAAATTCTATTGTATTTCAATTTTATTCTTAATCTTTAGTTACCAAAAACTCTTTCATTCTTTTGCATTTTTAAAACCAATTTATTTTAATACATACAACCCTATCGAAATCCACCACCACCCGGTCTCACCTGCAAATTCATCTACTTTTCTATCCTTCATATATTCCCTCCTTAATAAATATGATATTTTATTTATTCCTCCAATTTTCTATCCTTTAAATTTTTTATTCTTCTATTTTTCCATCATACCAAACGGAGCATAAGGGTTGAGTCGAGGCATGGGCTCTGACAGGAATTTTTTCATATATTACAACGATAATTTTATGTCAGTATTGTTACGTGATATCATTAATTAATAATATACAGATAAATAAGAAAGTAGATATCACACAAATAACTATCAGTTCGTTTAAGGAGGTAATTACCTTTTTTGAGTTTGAATTTTCGTTATTCTTTGGAGTTAAGTCATAGAGAATTTATCCATTACGAATACTTTAATCCTAACATAAATGATCTACTTTTGACTTGATTGAGGAGAAAATTAGTCAATGTGCATGAATTGATGTAGACACTCTTAATCGTTGAACTAAAAAAAGAGCAATGTTATTGGGACATAATTTATGGATATAAATTAAAGACATAATAAGTTGTCACTAATGATATAATAATGAATTCATTAATGCTACAATGAGATCCATTATTAAATGCATTTTTTTATCATTTCATTAGTGATAACTCATTATGTCTTCATAATTATGTCTTTCAAATATGTCCCAATAGCATTAATGAAAAAAAAAAAAGCAATACTATTGAGACATAATTGAGGGACATAATGAGTTGTCATCCATGAAATAATAATAAATTCATTTAATGTTATGACGAGACACATCATTAAATATATTTCATTATCATTTCATTTGTGACAACTCATTATGTTCCCAAATTGAGTAATGTTATTTGGACCTAAAAATTTCACTGAATCTACTAACATAATGATGTGGCTTAATAGGAATCATTAGATCAACACTAAGTTCTAATGTTTGATAGAACCTACAGACAATCCAAATGTCACAGTGTCTTAGGTCAAAAAATTAGGTTAAATTTTTAGATCTCAATAGCATTGCTCTCCTAAATTACTTCCCTTAATTATATCACAATAACATTAATTAAAAAATAAACGGTTCTACTAGCCTCTATTCAAACCATTAAAATTCAATTTTTTACTAAGTCTAAACTCTGAGTTAGATTCTTATGAACCCACTCATCTTTCCTTTAGAGCATATTAGATCTGTATATATGTAACTATATGTATAATAAAATATCTAATAATTTGAATTTTTATCCCTTACATATTTTCTCCCTTAAAGCATCACATCATTCATTTTTATTGAATGTTCAATCATTTAATATTTGATAATTTGTAGTTTAACATAATTTTTTTTCTCAAATATTATTCATACATAATAGTATACATATTTTGAAAAAAATTTGTCAAATTACGTATTTTGAGAAAATTTTGTCGATATTTTTAAGAAAATAATAGGTAAAAATAAAATTTTTAAATAATGTAATCGAAAAAATGAAAGAAAGAAAAATTATTATTTAATATAGTGGAATTAAATTTTTGGACACTTGAATTTTACGTTTTATCGTGCCTTCAAATACATATTATTATTATTATTATTATTATAAACACATATCTATTGGTGATTGGCAAAGGAAGTGGTATGTTGGTGATCTGTTGTTGTGGATTGGATTTTATATCTCTATGATATATTTATTATTATGTAAATTATTGTTCAAACAGATTTTATTATTTTTTGTTCTTTAAAATTGTTTTCAGAATAATATAATAAAACAATTTTTTCAATATAAAAATATTAAAACAAATTTCCTTATAAAATTATTTTAAATTTTTATGTAAATATATAATCCAAACACACCCTAAATATGTTTTATTTTGGATAAATTACAGATACCCCTTAACATTTGTCTTTATTACACAACCACCCCTCATATTTTCAAAATTACACTAAGACCCCATAAAATAAACGTCGTTAACTGCACAAGCGAAAAGATCATTTTACCCTCACCTTAACTACCCATTAAGACCAAAGATCCAAGACCTAAGATCTAAAACCCAAGCCCCCTAAGATCATGATGAATTAAAAAGCCCTCAGTATCTCCATCTCCATCTCGCTCTCTCTCTCTCTCTCTCTCTCTCTCTTTCTCTTTCTCTCTCTCAAGGCTAAGAACTAGACTGAAATCATCTGTATTCTCTCTCTATCATTGCAACAGCCTTCAGTAGAAGAGCCAATTAGCGCAAAATCACCGAAAATCAACCCAAAATCGCAGAAGAAATCAAAAGGGTTGAAAGCTTAAAAAACTTTAGATATCGAAAGGAAAACAATAGTTTTTGAAACCCTAAGTCCCCATTCTTCGTCTCTCAGATTTGACGCGATGGTGGGTGACTTTGATACCCTAACTCTCTTTATTTGTCTTGCAGTTCTGAGGCATTTTTTGGTGGTGGTGATGGGCGTTTCTGTTGTGGTGGTGGTGGTGATTTGTTGGTGTGTGTTACTGAGTTGACGGCGATGCAATAGTAACGATGTTATGGAGGAGAAGGATCATATACAGAGAGGATTGATAATGAGTTTTGGCTAGGTGGTGGTTTTAGTAATGGAGGTGGAGGTGGTTTTCCATGGGGTTGTGATTTCTCTTTCTCTCTCTCTGTGCTAGTGGTGTTTGGATGTGTTGGGTGACAGATGCATTATTGCAGTGGTTAGGTTTAGGCAGCGGTGATGATGGCAAGAGTAAAAATTTATATAATTAGATAAATAATAAACAAAAATAAATTTAATATGAGATAATTGGATTAGGTAATTATTAAGGTTTAAAAAAATGATTACTTTTTAAATTGTACTAACAGTAACAAATATTATTTAATAAACAAAAAAATTAATATTTTATTTATTAATGTAATGTATTTAGAAATTAAACATATAAGTGTTAAATTTTAATCTATATATTTCATATACAGATTAAAAAAACAAATGAGAGGTTGGATAAATTTAAAGAGTATTTTTAATATTATGAGAATTATGATTGAAGACCTCAGTTTTGACTGTTAACAAGTTTAACGTCTGTTAGTTGGAAGGGTGTGTGACTATTATAAGTGTTAAATATCAAGGGAGTTTGGTGTTATTTTTAAAATATGAGGGAGTGTTCGCATAATAAAACTATATGTCAAGGGTGTGAATGTAATTTACCCTTTTTATTCATTCAATTTCCATTTGCAACAGATTTATATTGACAGGGTGAGAGATGCTTGTAGCATATGTAGATGGAGTGGGGGTAGTTTAGTCGTTTGGAAGAAGGCAATAAGGATTTGAGAATCGCGAGATGTCGGCGGTAAGTAAGCCGAGTACGACAAGGAATTTGAATATTCAC